TTTGTCAGGATGACGGACTTCGTCTTAAATTTTCACGAAAAGTCGAGTAGAACGAGATACCTATCGAACTCCTCGACTCCCAGAGGACAGAGCGTGCGATTCCTTCAAATGAAATTCTGACTGGTGCCTCGAGTCAGCCGTAAATCGACCAACCGAACGGACAGAACAGGCTATGTCGAAGTAAAGTGATAAGCCGGCAACACGCCACGAATGGTGATTCCTGATCAAATTGTAGTTGGCTCGGGGAGCAACATTCGAGCCATGAACTCGATGCATCGAAAGTTATATAACCAGAATCTGTAAGTAAAGTCGATGCCCATCGCGCGATAGGTTACATTTTATCGACCGTGCTATTCCATGCCAACTCAGAGGTTAATACTATCCAGGTCCTAGGATCTTAGGTGAAGCATGATACTTTCGGATAAGCACGACAATATGAAAGATGAACTTCCTTCTGGAAGAAAGCAGCAAACGGAATCATAGCTTCCAACGAATAGGAATCGATAAACACAGAGGAAAAGTATCGTATTTCTGTCTATTCTAGAGTTTGAATATGCTAGACCACGATTTATTAAAAGTTCAAACGAAAATCACATCGCTGGGCTGGAAGAACTAACGAAAAGGTGTCAAAAACGAGGGCTCTCAAGTGATATGATCGATGTTTGACAGTGAGAATGATTAGTGAAGAAAGCACCAGAAAAAGTGTCACTCGAGATTGTTCGCTCCTAGATGCTGCAACGTGGCATTGCTTCTTATCACGTTGCACTCTCTGTGATCGAGTTTTTGGTCGATCAGGCTCAGTTACTGTGGTTTCATAGTTGTTTTATTTTCTTGACCCGAGCCCATGTGATCTCCTCATCTCAAAAATCAAGCCAAGCGGTTACTATTCGGAAGGTTGTATAGATAAACTAAATCGGTTTTTGATTAGATTTAATTTATATTCGATATTATCAAGCTTGGATTACGTATTCATTAATACGATCGGTGACTTGTAAGTTTATGTACGTATCCAGCTACACGTATATTCTTACAGGTATAGGTGCTGCTTAGACTTGATGCTACGGCTAGAAATGAATACGTACATTGTCAGTTTCATGCTCAACTATAGACACCGATTAAACCTAATTAATTTAAGTCATAGACTCAACTGATCAAAAGGCCCCAAGCGTTCCGTCCTATTCAGCACATGCATAATCGATGCCCACGAAACGCGGTGCATTTTATTATCTGCAATAATAAATGCCACATAAGCTTACGCACGTAGCACTAATAGCGATTTCGATAATTATTGCGCTGAGAGATAGCGGCACCATTTTAGTGGAATTAATCGTAAACCGAGAGGAGCGATTACTGTTATTAAATTACGATCGTCCGCCATTCTAACTACCATTGGTACAACTGATAGCCAGTCAACGGAATTAAACACATGAAAGCAAGGTTTATATTTTACTCTCTATCTATACCCGCGATGTACAGGGTGGATCATGGGAGCTGTTCCAAGCACCGGAGATATTCCTCCAGAAGCAAATTTGATGAGATTTTAAGCTCGTCGATATTTTTTGCGGGGTTACGTATGATACGTAGATTTGAGATGAGCTTGGAAAACAGAAAGTGCTTCGTTTCAGAAGATTGGCAATAAAATGATTGTTGGCGATTTTAAAATCTGAAATTAGAGATCTCATCTTCGAAGTAAATCTAAACTTAGCATTCGTGACAATAGAATGCTAAGGAAGTATCTCGAGTTTCTGGTAGATACCAGAAAAAAGTCCTCGAGTGCAAAAGGTTAACTTAAATACATTCAATCTAATCATAATTCAATCTATTATTTTTCTACAAAAATAAATGTACTGAGAATCTACATATGTACAATATATTGGTCACTGCAGAATAGCGAAAGAAAAAGTTTAGAATATAGCCTGTCCTCTCAAATACCATGGGGGACCCTTCCTATACTCTTCCTATACCTACGTCCTTCCTGCTAGAAATTCTTTTACCTTTTTATTATAACGTTCGTCGGTTAGTCTTAAGAAGCTCCTCGCAAAGAAAAGATCTCAGCTTATTCGTGACATTTTAGTAATAAAATCAAAACTTTTAATTAATAAATTTAGTATTTTATTATTTCGTTATATACCATTTCAAGTGGAAGAGATACTGTTTGCTCACATGTACGCAAAGCTTCCTAGTTTGGAGAAACAAGGAATTTTCAGGGATCCCTATCGTGTTGTCACGGAGTGTAGATTCAGCGTTAATCGTCAAATGCTTTTTACAGGCTCTGTACATGGCACAGCGAACGCGTCGCTCTAACTGCTTCCGAATCCTGGCAAAGCCCGTCCGAATAATAGACTCCCGTTGCATGGAGACTCGTGTCGATGAATATTAAAGCTCGCGGTGGGGGATTTATTTATAATGCCTTAATCTCGTCTCGGCCGCGGGATTAGCGGGTTTGATTCGGGAACGTTCGCATGCTATGCCGCCATATAAAAGCACGGCAGTGCGGGTGAGCACGGGGACGTGTGCACGCTTCGGTAACACAACTACGGGCCAACCCCGTCGATTGTGAAGGAACAACGCTGTCGATTGCCTCGAAACGCGCCCCACGATTGGCTCCGAGTATGGAATGCACGATAATTCGGCCAGAGGCTTAATTGTATACGTCGCGTGTGTTTGCGAACGTGCGCCGCCGCTAGACCTCGGGTCACGAGAAATCGACTCAATCAGAGAGTACACAGCCACGTATAAACCTATTCATTCTACCAGCTCCCCTTGTGTACCTCGCTGCCCGTGAATACCATGCAAGGTTAACCGCGGAACACACTGGCCCGGTGTCAAGGAATCGAATTCTGGTCAGTGAGTTAATCTCGCGTTACCCACACGAAAAACATGACCGCAACTCGCCAGTCTTATTCGAGGAGCCAGATAGACGATCAACAAGTTGTCCACTGTCAGAGTTTATGTTATTTGCCTTTGGCTGGATTCATAGTTCTGGTAATTTGCAGGTTTGGAGGGCAAGTAGGTCTGGTGATCAGGAATATTCCTCATATTTGAAACTGAGATGATAGATAGTTTACGAAGCACTCCCTTCGTGTTTGCTTTTCAGGTTTTGTTTATCTGGTTAATACCAAGCCATGTTTCAATTAGACTACCTTATCAGGTTAGCTTCAAACTAACCCCAGGTTACCTTCAACTACAAAAGACAGTATCGAAGTCGTAATAAATCTTGATTCAACTCGAATCGACGATCAACAAGTAGTCCCCGCCAAAGTTCCCCGTTATTTCTGAATTGCGCTCCCTCTGTTTCCCTCCCTATTGAAAGATTTACGCGCATACGAACATTTATAGCTCGAAGTTCACCCCGCGGTTTGCGGTTTTTCTAACTTTCAGCTTCCGTAAGTTTCGCGAGCTCGCTAACGCTGGTCCATATTTTAAAACTTCTCGTGGGCGAACGGGTGTATAAAAGCACCGTTAAAGGAGTTCCAAGGAAGGGCAAGAACGAGTGGACAGTACTTCCCAACAGGCTTATTCTCCTCTTCCTTGTTAGAATGATGGATGCGAACGTCCGGCAAAATGATGTACTCGGTTCATTTCGTGGCTCGATACGGCCCGGAAAAATAAACGAACGAGGAAGACACTCGAACATCTTCTAAACTATGACAGAGCCTCGACGAGTTCTAAAGTTCGAGGGTGACTCGAGGCTCTTGCGTGGAACTTTGTTGGAGTTGGATACATCGATCACGCTGGATCTTACTTTCCGCAAACGCTGATGCGAAATGACGAAACTTTCGTCGTCCCTGGTTGGGGCTCGGTGCAGGGAGTTGCGGTGACATTATAATGATATCTTCTTGGTGATAGTAAACAAATAAATAAATTCTGGTCGCGTGAAAAGAATAAATATCCAAGTGTTAACATCGGATTTATCACTTTTGCAAATTTCGATGTTACAGTGCTTACTATACGCCGTGTCCTCGGCAAAAACTGATATACTAAATAATTTCACTTTGAAGCTCTCGAATCGACGTTATATTTCCATCCCCTGTTCGTAACCCACTTTGCAGCGATCGTGTTAATTACCTGTAAACGTGCGGCGCGACATCATTATCGATGCTCGCATAGAAACAGGGCTGCATTCTGCGCTGTGTATTTCCCTTTCAATAAAGTTCACTACAATGCGGCCGACAATTGTTCGTGGCACGTTTCAGCGGTGAACGGTGAAAAAAGACGGTCATTAATAAAAGTCGTGTCGCGGACGCGTGATTAGCGGCTCACGTGTTTGCGTAATTAAACGCACGATTTCGAGCGATATCGACGATAAAGATACGTGCTCACGTACATTGTTCGTAAATGCGTAATTCGCGATGGCGTTTGCACAGTACACATGCGAATTTACGTAATGACGGGATGAACAATGATAAATTTTAGCAATCTGGGTGGACGAAAATGTAAAAGGGATGTTTGCGAAAAAGGTAGAAATTCATTTAATTACACCTTTTAATTGGAATGTTTTTTGTTAAATCAAGAAAATGTTCTTCGTCGTAATTAAGTCATTCGAGGTTTAATCGATATTGCTAAATTAATAAATAAACGTTAGTAATCATACCGCAAATTTTCTTTGTTTCTCGAAACTTCTGGACTATTAGACCAAGCTACGCGTATCGAATGATCTCGGAATCATTGGAAAGCGTTGGCCCGAGCTTGCCTTTGTGCCACCCACGCGATGGTTCTATTCAATTAACAAATCCACCCGGCGCAATTATTGCTTGGCTAAATTCGCGTACGCGTGGCACGGGCTTTGTTTGAAATTCTGGTAAACTGCTTGAATTATTCAAATTCCACAGTCGATTTGTTAACTATGCATTCGTGTAAACGCCGCCCCCCAACAATTTATTAGACCGTTCCAGGAGCTTCGTCAAACGACTAGATTTGGGACAGTGGAATATTATGTGGCTCGAATATTTTACTGTCGTGCGTAGTTTTTTATATTGCTTAATAATTAGAACACTCACCCCATGATATTCGGCAAGAATGAACTCTGTGCGCATTGGTGTAAACGTACCTGTAACAGACGTAAGTGGGATGTGATTAAAATCAAATAATATTGTATAAGTCTCTACGAAAAATAAGGCACAGGCGGCCTTCTTGTTTTTAAATATACATATTTGTTAACAATTTTGTACAAAGTATATTTACTTCTATAAATATAAACATATCTTTGTGCTTTTTATTCGTTGTACGTAGTACTTGTCAGTATACATTTCTAGCTTAACCTACTTATATCTAACTTGGAACAATTTATATATACAGGTTGTTCCAAGAATGTTGGAGGTCCTTGAAAGTGGTGGTTGGGGGGAGGAGGAGTTGATTTGAAATAATTTTTTCCTTAGCGAAAATGTTGTCCGAGACTTCGTTAAGGAGATATTAACAGAAAACTCTGACCAATCGGAGCGCGAGTATGTCGCTGGAGCGCCCACAATAGTATAGGCTACACGGGCGTTCCACCGGCATACTCGCGGTACCGTACGAGCGCGGCCGCCTAAGGAGTGGCCTATACTATTGCGAGCGCTCCACCGCCATACTCGCATTCTGATTGGCCGGAGTTTTCTGTTAATCTCTCTTTAACGAAGCCTCGGACAACATTTTCGCTAAGGAAAAAGTTGTTTCAAATCATCCCCCGAACCACCCCTTCCAGGGAATTCAAACATTTCGGGACACTTTGTATGTAAGCTTTGGGTTGGCGAGTCGTGTATGCTCCAGAGGACTGGACCGTCTTTTACATTCAAACTTTATTTATTCCCTAAAACGCCATTGTAAAATTTTTTTGACAATACCATTCAAAAGCTGAGACTTCGAGGAAGTTTTTCCCGAGGAGTATCCGCCAAACAACTATGTATTTGAAACCGAACAACGCATAGAGAAAAAATCAAATTTTAAGAAATTCGTGCTCTTGTTTGACGGTTTATTCTTGGATATGGGAGGCCCGATACTACAATATTACTATTACTTTTAAAGCAGAAAACGTAAGGTAGACTGTAGACAAGCTTTGGTGATGTAGAATACTCGATCGTTAAAGTGACTCCATTGCTTACTTATCCAAGTTTCAAACAAACCCATACACTAGCAGTTGAATAATTGTTTTAGCGAACAAACCCCGTACACTACACAACATCTCAAGTAATAGGAAGTATCTCGCTCGTTAAGCTCTTCCGTTCAAGGTTATTACAAGGTAAATACTTCGTTATCGATGTTGACTGTCATCGTGTCATCCCGTCGGGATGTTTTAATGGTATTTGAGGAAATCTCGATAAGCTACGTTTCCCGTATATTAGATCCGGAATTTCGCTCTGTTTTCTGGCTCAGTCTCATCGTGCGAAAATTGGAAAAGTTCAAAGCGGTCGCCGTCGGTGACTGGAGGTCGCAGAGAAGGAGCCGAAGCGGGGTCAGGAGGACGCGATCGGGCAGACTGAGCTAGGTGAGAACGAGCCAGGATCGAGAGGAAAAAACCTAGGGAGTTAAAGAGGACAGAGCAAAACGAACGCAGAAAAATGAGAGAAAGCTGAAGAGAGCCAGTGGAAAAAGGGAAAGATTCCCTATTGTTCTTGCAGCCGAGGGCACTGTTCGATTTCACGGTGCATAGAGACGCCCCGTGGAAATGAATCAATTGTGCGAAAGTACGCGAACCGCTGCGCCGACGCTTGATATGGCGGTTTTACAATGAATGCTGATACCTCTGATGAGTCTTGTAAAAGCCGTCCCGAGGCGAGGACCTTTGGCGGGTCGGGTAAACAATTTCGAGCAAGTAGTACCTGGGAATCGAATCTTCCGCTTGGTCTATGCGAGCCAGAAGTTGTCACTCCGTGGACATGGTGTAATTAAGCCCCACAGTCCAATGGATGCTTAGACGTCACTGGCCGTGCACCACATTTCGCAGCGTTCCACGAACGCTTTTACATGGCCGATGAATGCTGGCATTGGAGATCGAGAAGCTTAGAAGCTGTTTCATCGACTCAGTGGCTTTATAGCCTTCTTGGTCATTTGTTTTTGACAGAGCCCTCATAGTAAATGGGAAATTCCTCGAAGCTTTGAGTAGGCAGTTTGGGGTCCATGTTAAGGGTTTCTCGATAGGATGTGTGCTGAGAACATTCAAAACAATGGTGGCTTTGAAATATTTTCTTTTGACTGTCTGGGTACGAGACACTTGAGTTTCGAGTTCGAACTATTCTCAATGAATTATAGACTATATAACTTAATTTGTATGTTCTATAAGTGGAATTTACATGCTGGTTCAAGTAGAAGTTCTGAAGCTAGGTAACTGTTCTATCAACCTAGCTGCCTGGTAATTTCTACTTCTCAGGCATGTGTTCTTGGCAAGTAATACGGTGGTAAACAGAACGCACATCAAGCTTTGAGTATGTACTCAATAATGTAAATTAGAAGTCTCTTGATGCTTTGAACGTTATTAATGGTCGAACACTAAAACGATGCTACCTTGCGAGATATTCTCTACATAGTCTAGGTGCACAATTCTCTCGAGTGTTTCTATTAAAAGAATTTGCTGAAGAAGTAATTTTCCACACGACGAGATCAATTCTTACATTTTTTCAACCAAATTCTCCCATCCTAACTGCAAATATTGACATCACCAGCATCAATACCATTTCGGCACCTCCTTGCGTGCCAGTTCCAGCGGCTTTGACATCTCCCGTCTTTCAGCACCCTCGACGCTTCCTTGGAGAACATTTTACAGACTTTAATGGCATTAACATCCCCGAAGAGAGCTGCGGGAGCTGGTACCTTCGCACAGAGCAGAGAATAATCGTGAACCGTATTTCCAGATGGAGGAGAGAGGCAGCTCGATTCTTCACGGAGACGTCGCGAACCACGTTGGCGAAGATTGCGTCGAAGTGTCCCAAGATTCCGAGAAAATAAAAGATACGTGGCGAGGACCGCTTTTCTTCTGTGGCCCGCACGAAAAGCCTCGCCGAGAGAGAAATTACCAGTATTTTGCAGCCGTTTCTCGACGCCCGGAGCACTGGTCTAATGTAACAGCGTTTGAATGATCACGAGCGGAGAATGAAGGGAAAAATTATTCGCAGCGCGGAAAGAACCGCGATTCACGAGACGAGCGTTAACGAGCCGAGGAACCACTGATTCTAATACGAAGGAATCTTTTCAGATCGCAACGATGATACCAATTTCGTTGAACGAGACCTCCCTCCCCCTTCGTCGAAAACGGACTCGAGGGCTGATACTTGCAGTGAAACCTCTCGCGTAATTAGAACACCTCGATGCCAAGGTGTCTTTCACGAATTTTACCTTCCTCGGGATCTGAGATTTGTAAGCATCGTTCGGGAAAGATTGAAGCCAATTTTGTGAAGTTGGCGATGCTGTAGGATTTTCATCTGAATTCTGTGTGGCATAGTGCAGGGATGTGTCGTATGCCAACATAATCTGTATTAATTTTAGTTTAAGATAACACTTTCTTCTCATCCTTCGTCAAACTCCAGCAGCAAACATTCCAAAATCCTTCCTTCGATAGCTGATGATTTCATCTTTGCTAGTCATTCGCGGACCTCGACCTCGTTACCTCACCCCTACTGACCATTGAACCTAAGATAATCCCTACCTTTCCATCTTCCATTTTTCGAATCTATGAAACTCACTATTTTTCCCTTTGAAGACAGAGAATTGTCCGAACCATCTTAGCACGAGGAATTATACACTGTATCGCGCGAATATCTACAACCTTTAATTTCGCTCGACGTTGTAACTTAATAAATACAATAAAATAACGACTCCGGCGGAATACAACAGGTGTAAGTAAAACATTAGTCTATCAGTTTGAATGCCTACAGTGACTGTAAGATTTTTTGTTTGACTAATTTTTATTTGTAAAATGACACTGCATATGATTATCAATCTCGTCACGATCAAGGAATACATATTTGTCACGATGCTCGTGGAAACACGCATAACCATCAAGACATACGAACAAACTGCATTGAGGGATATTTGTCGAGTTCGAGCGCAAAGTCGTGAGTTTAGCGGCGCATTCGAGTTCAACGAGGCGCGTATGCATTCGAAGTAATTAATCGTGGGCAATTAAGCTTAACTGATAGCTTGCGGTCGTTTGGCTTCGGAAATATTAGCTTTCGGCGGGGTCTCCGAATGAAGCCCCACAGGCTAATCTTCTTTCAATGAACGCAGCACGGAGCGGCCGGTTTCACTCCGTGCTGACAACGACTTATCGAGCCTGTCAACGACTCGTTACACACGACACGGCAATTAGTTCCGTGCCGGTGTGCACTTATTAATTAACCACAGCCATTGACGGAACTCGTGTGGCTCGCGTCGACGTTCAGACAACGAAAAATCGATACCTAACGTCACGTGCACGACTCTCCTTAAAGGGGGTCGAAATTGCTCCGAAACAAAGTCCCCTGTGGGAATTAATTCAACGAAATGAATGCAATTACAGGTTTTTCCCTTTACGTAGTAAACTGTTGAAAAACACAGCTCGCTGCAAGTTTATTATGTATGAGATGAATTTACATCTTTATTAACATATGCTCGTTAATAAAAATGTAGAGACTGTTCTAAATTTATAAATCAAAATAAAAATCAACCAAGTGATCAATGGTATCAATGCTTTACACTAATTTAGTTTATAACAAACACTACTAACCAACTAGAAACACTAGATATTGTATAGGAATCCAGGCAAATTATTTTTTATTATTCGTACTTAGCAAATTCAGCTCTGAATAGAGAATTTGACGTAGACGATCTCTTCATACATTCTAACGTTGTGAATATTCCAGAACAGAGTACAAACAAATTTGTTGACCGATGTAGAGTTTATTTGGCTGTTTTTCGAGCAGGGCCGACAGTTTCTTTGAAAAGGGAATAACAAATTCTTCGCAGGACACCGACCTATCGACAAATCGATATTTTTCTGCGCCCTGTGTTTTCCCCACTGTGCTTTCAATTCCATTTCACTGTTACATACTTGGGGGATTTCCAGATTATCCCGAATTCTGGCGACTCCTTTGGCGCTCA